AACCTCGGGTCGAAAGCAGTGACGCGCTTGGAAAGGTCCATTGCTCATTTTCAATAGCCAACACAAATAACATCATAGTAACAGCAAAAGGAAAAGCAGAACAAGTAATATCTAGTTCAACTTTATCACAACGAGAGGAGAAATAAGCATGCTTTTCAACTATATCAGTCAAAACATCAATTTTTCCACAGAAATTACCCAATCATGGATTATCAATTTAAATTATGATTCCATGCTTTAAACATGAAATAGAGACATCAAGTACTAGTTAGCATGAGAAAGATTCAACTCTATGCATGCATGACAAGTTTACATGCCCAAAATCAATAATATCGCAATTTAATCATAAAGTATACCAAATCTCAACACATGTAGAGTGCCTGATAAAAGTACCCCCTCAATCATCACACACGCACACTCAGCACTGTACGTGTGCCTGAAATAAGTCTCTCACCAAGTATATCTCGTATGCTTGCACTCACCGGTTAATACCTGACTCCGGAGGGGCGGATCCTAGCCCAAGCGCTAATTAGATCAGAAGTCAATGATCAATATCACTCAGCCCAGATGGGGCATGGCACATGCGTTACCTTACTATCAATACCACTCAGCCCGATATGGAGCCTGACGCACGCGTCACCTCACTACCAAATATATCAACACGGCTCTAAGGCCCAAGATCAATCATTAATCTGCTTAAGTCTCAATATGCCAACCCCTCACAAAACCATAATCAAAATACTTGAAGGAGTATAACAACATGCCACAAATCAACTCAAACTTGTGTCACACAAATAAGGACACCAACAACATGTGAGATGACATATAAAGAGCGCACCAAGGCATAGATATAATACGCGGATACAATATCATGACTGAAAATATGACTAAAATTAAGGTAAACAACTCAATATAGAAAAAAATTGCCCTATCATGTCTCAAACAGATAAGCACATAGCATAACATGATTTGTAGCATGAATAATAGCTCATGTAGTCATACATGTGGAGGAAACATGGTATCAAAAAGGCATGATCGCAAAACAAGGCATATAATAGCCTACAGTCTACTCGGATCATGAATAACCACGGTGTACGCATACACGCTCGTCACCTTGCACGTGCGTCACCCCCAACACATAACAAATATCATGGCCAACAGAGAAATCACCCTCAAACCAAGCTCAGGCAAGATACTTACCTCAAATGCGCGAGAATCAATACTCCAAAAATCCCTTCCCTCTTGAATTAGCCTCCGAAGGGTCAAATCTAGCCAAAAAAACTTAATAACGTCAAACAAGACTATAAGAACAGATTCCAGACAATAAAGCTTCGATATTTATTCAATTACACAAAGTCAACTAAAAAATAATTTTGCTTAAACAAACTGATAAATATAATTAACATAGATAAGCATGTTCGATTGACCATGGTGCTTTGACAAGAGAACAATCTGCTTATTTAAATTATTCCAAAGCGAGCTTCGAAGCAAAGCTAAAGAATATTTGTAGCCGCTTCCTAGTTCTGGCGATATCTCCAGTTTGCCTCATCTGCTTCTCTATATTCAAAAGCGCTTCTATTTACGCCCCCAATTTCATATCACCTTCCTGTAAACACAATAAAGCAAAAATTCAAATGAATAAACAGAGGAATAGATAAAAATTAAGCACGAAATATAAAAACGATCGAACATTTACCATATTGAATTTTTGAGTTTTTTGGATTTCGATTAAGACTGATTCTAAAACCCTAGAAGAGAGAAACAGAACGAGAGATAAAGATAGAGAGAGAGAGAGAGAGGGGGGAGAGAATTGTGTTTGAAGACTTTTAATTTTGGGTGTTGCTGGATTTTATTGGGTGCAATTTATGGAGTATGTATCTGAAATTTAGGGCAATTTGGTGAAGGATTTTGGTGGTTTCGAGTTGAATTTTAGTTGGAGTATGTGTAACGACCCGGCCGGTCGTTTTTAGAATTTATGCCCCGATACCCTATTAACTGCTTTTCCCAAGTTTATTTCTGCTATTTTGAATAGTCGGATGGTCGGTTTTGAATTTCGGAGAGTTTTGGGTCACTTAGTCCCTAAATAAGAGCTTAAGTGTTGGAAAGTTGACCGTAGTCGGAACAGTGTGAAGACGGCCTCGGAATGAAAATCTGATGGTTCTATAAGCTCCGTTGAGTGATTTCGGGTTTAGGGGCATGGTCGGATTGTGTTTTAGAGGTCCGTAGCTAATTTAGGCTTGAAATGCCGAAAGTTAGATTTTTGAAGTTTCCGGTTCGATAGTGAGATTTTGATCCGAGGGTCGGAATGGAATTCCGAAAGTTGAAGTAGCTTCGTAGTGTTGAATGTGACGTGTGTGCAAAATTTTAGATCATTCGGACGAGGTTTGATAGACTTTTTGATCGAAAGCATATTTTGGGAAACTTGGAGTTCTTAGGCTTGAATCCATGGTTAATTTGAAGTTTCGATGTTGTTTTAGGTGTTTTTTTTTTTTTTTAGGATTGGTACAAGTTTGGACAGTGGTATTAGACTTGTTGGTTCCTTTGATTGAGGTCCCGGGGGCCTCGGGATGATTTCGGATGGTTGACGGGGAGTTTGAGGGGTGTGAGCAGCTGCTGAACTTTGCTGCTTCTGGTATTTCCGCACCTACGGTTTGGGGACCGCAGGTGTGATGCCGTATGTGCGGAAGAGGAGTCGCAGAAGCGAAAATGGGGAGCATCATCAGGAACCGCAGATGCGGTATACTTTCCGCAGAAGCGGTACCGCACCTGCGAGAGGGGGGCCGGAGATGCGGAACCTGGGCGTTTAAGTGATGGGTCGCATGTGCAACTTTTGGTCCGCAAATGCGGGACCGCAGAAGCGGTCCCAAGGCCGCAGATGCGGAAACTGCTGGGCAGTTGATTTAAAGGGGGTTCCGCGACCTTGGGGTTATTTCCACCATTTTTATCTTGGCTTTGGAGCTTTTTGGGCGATTTGAAGGAGGGGTTTCAAGGGAACTTCATTGAGGTAAGGAATTTGGACTTAAAACTCATTCCTATGTCATTATTTCACGGATTAGAGCTAGAAATTATGGAAATTTAGGGTGAAAATTTGGGAAAAACTAGGGCTTAGTATTGGAAACCTTTGATTGAGGATTTGATGGACCATTTGAGGTCCGATTTTGGTAAGTTTGGTATGAATGAACTCGTGAATGTGTGAGGATTCTGGAAATATAAATTTCACCCGATTCCGAGACGTGGGCCCAAGGGGCGTTTTGGTCATTTTGCCTAATTTCGTGTATTTGCTTAGAATTTAATTGTAGAACAGTTACTTGAAGTGTTATTTACATTATGAAATTTAATTGAATAGATTTGGGCCATTTAGAGTCGGATACTCGTGGCAAGAACGTGGTTTCGGGTTGACATTTGAGCCGGTTCGAGGTAAGTGGCTTGTCGAACCTTGTGTGGGGGACCTTTCCCCATAGGATTGATATTGTGATAATTGAAATGCCTTATACGTGAGGTGACGAGCGCGTGCTTGTGCTAATTATTGGAAATCCGATTTTTATTTCATTAAAAATAGCCTTGAATTGTGTTCTTCTTTTCTTGCTTACACTACTTGGAAATTTAGCCTGCTGTTAGACTAGAGAAGCATGTCTACTTGACTAAATTGTTCTATTTGACTTAACTGCCTTATTTGTCTTATGTGAAGCATGCTAGGTTAGAATTATCTGTCTGACTTTGGTATGAAATTGATTGAATTGAGTTCTTGTTGCTGCTGTGTATTTACTTTGGGACTACGGGACGGTATCCCGGAAGCTCCCCTGTATGTTTACTTTGGGACTACGGAATTGCATTCCGGGAGATCCCCCTGCACATTTACATTGGAACTACGGGATTGCACCCGGTAGATTCCCCAGTACTGAGTATTTATATTTGGGACTACGGATGTGGTATTCCGGTAAATCCATGCGCATTTATGAGTTGGACTACGGGACTGCACCCGGGAGATCCACTGGATAGGATATTTATATTTGGGGACTACAGGACGGTATCCTGTGAGATCCCCGGTTGTTATCTCGGAGCTGAGCTGTATTCTCTTCCTGTGTTTTACTTGCCTTTGTAATAGTTGTTGCTGTCCTTCACATCCTGTGTTACTTATTTACACTGTTTATTTCACACTGTTAAACCTTATATCTTATTTAACCTCAGTATGGCCCTGACCTTCCTCGTCACTACCCAACCGAGGTTAGGCTTGGCACTTACTGAGTACCGCTGTGGTGTACTCATGCCCTTCCTGCGCATGTTTCTCATGTGCAAATCCAGGTGCTTCAACTCAGTCCTACCACCCCTGAGGCGAGGCGACTGCTATAGCGACTTTGAGGTATATCTGCCGCGTCCGCAGACCGAGAAGTCTATTTCTATTCTTGTTGTTTAGTATTAGCCCTTCTGTATTTCAGTTCTTGTTAGACATTCTGGAGTTCGAGCTATGTAGTACTTCTTAGCTTGTAATTCATGGGTTTCCGGGTCTTGGATTTATGTGTTGGTTTTGAGAGTTAAATATTGTGTATGCCGAGCGGCACCTTTAAAAGCTGTTTATTTCCTTTATTTCTGTTTTAAATTGTTTTACTTCCGCAAATTTTGGTTTCTTTTCCGCAATTTAGGCTTACCTAGTCGTAGAGACTAGGTGCCGTCACGATAGTTCACGGAGGGCGAACCGGGGTCGTGACAGTGTATCTTAAATTGTTGTTATATTTTACTAAAATGTGAAGAAGAAAGGGACGGGGGGGGGGGGGGGTGAGTAAGAAGGAGAAAGAAGACGGGGTCCACGTTTTTTTTTTTTTTTTAATTAGGAGAAATGGCGCTCGTAATTTTTATTAGGGAAAGGATTCATTTCAAATGTGTTTATGAGGTAAAGGAATGCAATTTAATTTAAATGTTTAATCATGGGACTTTTATGTATTTTGCCTATTTTACAATTTCAGTATTGTTTATGTGAAGTTATTTTCCAAGTAGCTAAACGTACAAAAATATATGAACGTAGACCATAACTTACATAGGAGTCTCAAAATCGGGTGTCTGTGCACTTGCCCCATGACTCGATCGGAGCTACATTTGGCTATTGTCCTGCAAAGCAAAAGCAAAGCAAATAAAATTCACTGACATTTCAACAATGAATCAATGTGAAAATTCAGCCAGCTGATTGGCAGATCCACCTTCAAAATCTGAAACTACATTTCCCCAATTACATCAAATTACAAAATCTAACTCTCAATCACCACTAGATCTCATTGGAGTTTTGCTATAATCGCGTATTCTGATCCGCGATCTGGGTAAATTATCAGATGGCAGGGGCGGCGTCGGCGCTGTTCCTCCTCGACATCAAAGGCCGAGTACTGGTGTGGCGTGACTTCCGCGGCGATGTCTCCTCCGTTCAGGCCGAACGATTCTTCACCAAGCTCCTAGAGAAAGAGGTGTTCTCTTGTTCATTTATTTTTCTTTCTGTTTTAGTTTAACGACGAAATGTCTGCCAGTTAAGAGCATTTCGACTATTAAAAGTTAGATTGCAAGTAAAGACGGATCCAGGATGTAGAAGAGTTAAGCAGTGTCTTCGGTTCTCTTAATATATTCCAATTATACTTAGTAGTAGATTCTGCTCCAACCATGTGTGTATTGTACCCAAGGGTGTGGCCTAGCGGTTAATGAAGCGAGAGGAGAACTATGAGGTGTCACGTTCAAATCCCAGCAGGAGTCAAAAAACAGTAGGTGATTTCTTCCATTTGCCTATGCCTTGGTAGGCAGAGTTTCCCGGTAGCTATGCTGGTGGGAGGTAGCAGGTACCTGTGGAATAATTGGTATGTGCACAAGATAGCCCGGCTGCTACTTTCATAAAAGAAAAGTAGGGGATTCCCCGTATCCAAGTATCCAAGTGTCTTTGGGAGAGTAGGATTATGCAAGCTAATTGTTTTAAAGGAAATTCTGCATTTTAAAGCTAATTAGGACTTATGCTAGTTATTGCTTTTAGTCGAATGCTGCATTTTAAAAGCAAAATAGAGTAAAGAGGAATGAAAGAACGTTTTATAGTGGTTTAATCTGTTTGGAATCTTGTGTTGTTTAGTAAATATGTTCTTTGAAGCGTCAAAAGTGAGTAATTATGCAAGCATGGGTTGTGGATGACTTCCTATGGGTTAGGATTATGTTGAGCTTCTCTTCTTTAGAGATGGCTCTTTTCTGAATGATGAAGAATTATTAAAAATGAACTAATCAAGTCCGGAAGTTACTGTTGAATTGCAAAATATTTCAATATTTAAGTTACTGTTGAATTGCAAAATATTTCAATATTCTCCTCGCGTTCTGCAGATTATTTATGATCTTCATTTTGTTCCATTTGTAGACAGCTGATTTGTAAAGACTTAGTTGGAGAAAATGAGTTTACTTTTTCTTGCTAATTTAAGTGCTAGAATTTGATCATTTGCAGGGTGACCCTCAAGATCCTGTTGCATATGATAACGGCGTGACGTATATGTTTATACAGCACAATAATGTGTATCTCATGACCGCATCAAGGCAGAACTGTAATGCTGCTAGTCTTCTTCTGTTTCTACACCGTGTTGTTGATGTAAGTGACAATGGCATTCTAAAAAGTGTGCCTTTAGTATGTTGGTTTGAGATGTATTTATCTGTTGAGTAGCTGTGGAGAATTATTCATTTCCTTTTATTTGGTTTGCTGGCAGGTCTTTAAGCATTACTTTGAAGAGTTAGAAGAAGAATCTCTACGGGATAATTTTGTTGTAGTGGTATGAGGAACATTTTATTTCTTTTTGGGATAAAAAGCATGTGACTGGGAAGAAAATTGTAAAGGATTGGTTGTGACTGGAACAATGTTTTATCTTTTGCAGTATGAGTTACTTGACGAAATGATGGACTTTGGTTATCCTCAATATACTGAAGCAAAAATTCTCAGTGAATTTATAAAAACTGATGCATATAGAATGGAGGTTACACAAAGGCCTCCAATGGCAGTAACGAATGCTGTGTCCTGGCGTAGTGAAGGGATACAATACAAGAAGAATGAAGTAAGTTTTACATGTTTTATTCAATAACAGTTTCTTTTAGTGGCTTATATGGAATTTTGTTGTTCTTTCAGGTATTTTTGGATGTTGTGGAGAGCGTTAATATACTTGTTAACAGCAATGGGCAAATAGTGAGGTCGGATGTTGTTGGTGCATTGAAGATGAGGACCTATTTGAGGTTTGCACTTTTCTGAGATATATATGTGTTTATGTATGTATGGGTCACTCTTTGCATATTCCTACTTGTATCGGCAAAACTGAAATGTCAATGTATGATTGCCCAGTATGCTGTGGCCGTGTGGGTGATAAACATATAGTTCATGTCTATAGGTGTTAAAAGATTTTTGACGTTATGCCTTCTTGTCATAGTAATAAATTTCAGATTTGCGAGCAATCTTTGTCCAAGCTCCCTCAAAGTTATGACTTTGTTATCATTTGCCTACATTTCTCTTTGAGAATCACCTCAAAAACTCAAGTTTTGTACTGGCTACTTCTCACCATCATGACCAGCAGTGTTCTAGGATCAAATGTATACTGATTTCTGTCTGTTCTAGTTTAGCATTTTATGTAATATTGCATACTGAATTGTTCTTGGTGATCTTCAGATTTTAATATTATCCTCATCTGGAATCCTGTCCTTCATCCCTAACCCTGTCTTGCTGACGAATATTGTGAATCAGTCTGGGCTTTGATGTGGATCCTTTACTATCAACATTAAGGTGGAAGGACTGGTTTTAGAAGAACTTTTTGTATTGTTAATCGAATTATCTTATATTATTGTTAAAATTAGCTTCAATCAAAGAAAAATCTAAGCGTTACTATAGATGGAATAGGTGAGAACTTTGGGGTTGGTTTTGAGTTTAGAGCAGCAGTTGGCGACGGTGAATACAGTTAGGTACAGTTCATGACATGAGATGCAGAGCAACAGTATCCTGTGTCACCAACATATATGGCTTTGCAATAGCCTTCTGGTCATTAATGTGTTAGACAGCCTGGCTTTTATACTACTAAGGGCTTGATCCTGTTGTATGTAAGATTGATGATAGTAAGATCTCTGTTTAACCTGTGGGGGCTTCTGTTTTAGTATTCTCTTTTATGAAATTACTTCAGAAGGTTCTTAAAATCCTATAGGCACTTCAGTGAAAGTTTAGATCTAGCGCCCCCTTTTCTAAAGTTTTAAAAACAGTTCTGAAGGCAAGATAAAGCCTAACCCCACCTCTGGGATGTTTCTTGATCTAGTGTCCTGCCTGATCTTAAATATTGTTTTACATCTTTTGGACTAGCACTAGCAGTGTGAAGATATGTTCTATGCTGATTATGATTCTGTCATTACTAAGATCATATTTACATGTAATTTTGATCTCCGAGCCTTTCGCTTCACATCTACACGGTTGAGCTGGTGAAGTTCTTTCTTCTTGCCTGCATTTCCTTCCCGTCTTGCTAATGAGCTGCCTCTATGTTAGCATCACTAGTGTATATCTACCTAAAATGTCTAGGATTCTTAAATGTTGACACAAGGACTGCATTATTTTTCCAACCTTTGGATCTCCTGTAAGGTTTTCACTAGTTTAAATGCAATTCGACAAAAATCCCACCATGTCACTTTTCTCTAGTATCTCAATTTTACATCTTGTCCTTTACCCAGCCATTTAATTGATGAGTGGTACTGGTCTAATGACATAATGTTTCTTCTCTTGCAGTGGTATGCCTGAATGTAAGCTTGGCCTTAATGATAGAGTATTGCTGGAAGCACAAGGACGTAATGCTAAGGGGAAAGCTATTGATCTAGATGATATCAAGTTTCATCAGTATGTAATTCAACTATTTTTATTTTCTTTTGTGGATTATGACATCTTTTTGCGTATATGCTTGACCCAAGAATAGGTATGTGGTGGGTGTGGGAGTTGGGAAGAAATTAAGCTCTTCTGGGCAATGTATACTATATAATCTGTTCAAACTTCCGACAGAATAAGCAAGTGGGGGAGTGGGTGGGTCCTCAGATTTAATCAGCAAACTCCTGTTTGTAACCTGTCCCCGCCCGTTGTCCCCCCCCCCCTAAAAAAAAAAACAAAAAAGAAATTTCTCCCTTCCCTCCCCCCTCCATCATTCTTCTACTAACCTCTTCTGTAACTTAGGTGTGTGCGTTTGGCCCGATTTGAGAATGATCGTACTATATCATTTATTCCTCCTGATGGGTCTTTCGATCTTATGACCTACAGACTCAGTACACAGGTGCACTTCCCAATGTTTTAATTCTCTATCTGACTGACCTTTTTTTAGTGCCTTCACTGAGTCGATCAATTGAAGTGTTATAATAGTAATTAATCTCAGGTAAAGCCTCTATTATGGGTAGAAGCCCAAGTGGAAAGACATTCTAGGAGCCGTATGGAAATTCTGGTTAAAGCACGAAGCCAGTTCAAGGAGAGAAGGTATGTCTATTTGTATTATGCTATACACCTATTTGGAGCTGCATCAGTTGATCTTTTGGAGTTCAGATGGCATACATTATGATATAATGATATGGTGCTAGTTCAGATATTAGTTTATTTGATAATTTCAGCACTGCAACTAATGTTGAAATTGAGTTGCCTGTTCCAACGGATGCAACTAATCCAGATGTTCGTACATCGATGGGATCATCTACTTATGCACCTGAAAAGGATGCATTGATTTGGAAGATAAAATCTTTTCCAGGTGGTAAGGTAATCGTACGCTTAGTCATACCTTAAGATTTAACTCATAGTTACCTTTTACTGTTTGTTCTCTCTCTGAGATTTCTTTTATGCTAATTCTCATTGCATTTTCAGGAATATATGTTGAGAGCAGAGTTTAGACTTCCCAGTATTACAGCAGAAGAAGCCACTCCTGAAAGAAAAGCTCCTATACGTGTAAAGTTTGAGATACCATATTTTACAGTTTCTGGTATACAGGTGAGCCCTAAATACATGTAATTGTAGTTTAGTTAAATAATTTAGTATTTTCCTTTTCCCCAAATTCCTACCAGTGTTATCAAAGGCGAAAAGCGCAAAAAAGCTCTAAGGTCTGTTGGGGCTTTAAGCGCAAAGCGCAAATAAAGCGTGGGCTTTAATGAAAAAAGGCGCAACTGGAGAAAAAGTAAAAATATGTATATGTAGTCCAAGACTAATAATTATAAGCATGAATAACAAATATATGGACAAAGAAATTGGAAAAAGATTACGATAAAGTGAAATATTAATTGTTTAATGTCGTCTTTTCATGATTACACTCATTGGCAAGAAATAGTATGACTTAGAGCATTGATGCGATACTAAAGCGCCCACAAAGCGAGGCGAAGCGCTCAACATGTTTTGAGCCTCGCTTCAGGGCTTAAGCGCGTCTTTGACAACACTGATTCCTACAACATTTTAGATGCCTATGTCCTCATTTAGTCCATCATATCGAGAAACATTATGAGTCTGAGTATTCAATGGGTGCTAAAGAGGATTTTTAGCGTAGATTATAAAAGATGTTATGAGCACATGATATTTATCTTCTTATCTTTAATTAGAAATAAAGTCTTAGCTATTACTCCCTCCGTTCCAATTTATGTGAACCTATTTGACTGGGCACGGAGTTTAAGAAAAAATGAAGACTTTTAAAATTTGTGGTCCTAAACAAGTCAAAAAGGGACCAGAGTATTTGTGTGGTTATAAAAGTTTCTCATTAAGGGTAGAATTGTAAGTTTAAGCTAAATTGGTACCAAATTTAGAAAGGGGTCATTCTTTTTGGAACGGACCAAAAAGGAAATAGATTCACATAAACTGGAACAGAGGGAGTAGTTAGATATATATTTGTCTTTAGTTAGGAATAAGTTTTTTATCTGTTAGTTAGAGCTTATTGTTTAGGTTGAGACTGAGAGGCTGTTTGGATTGGCTTATAAAAAGTAGCTTTTAAGCTAAAAGCCAAAAGTTATAAGTTGGTAATACCCAACTTTTGGCTTTTGGCTATTTTTGTACTTTTTATGCCTAAAAGTAAGTGCTTTTAAGCACTTTTTATCATTGCCAAACACTACACGAACTAGAAAAGTGCTTAAAAACCAATAAGCACTTAAAATAAGCCAACCCAAACACCCTCTGAATTCTAGTTGCTTAAAGAGTTTTTACTTGTTGGGTTCTCTATCCGATAATACCTTGTATATTTTATTGAACAGATAAGATTTGATGAATCAATTTTGGTATATAAACCCTCTCTTCTTCACTTTCTTCCTCCTCTCTTCTCTCTCCCTCTCCCTCTCTTTCTCTTCTCTCGACTCTCGCTCTCTCCTTTCTCATTCATTCTACTTGCATGTCTCCTTTCTCCCTTTCTAGTGCTACATCAGTTTAGTATCACAGCACACGATGCGCTTCATTACACTAGTGCTCTTTATATCCATCATTATTATGTTGGCCGCTCATTCCAGGAGATGATCGTCCATTCAGTTGGTAATTTGCACATGTACCTAAGGATCTAATACGACATTATATTACATGAATCAAAAAATTGAGTTTTGGTCTATTAATTAAGACCTTTTTGGAGTTTAGTCTCACTCATGAGTTTTCTCCAAGTAGAGTAGTGTTTACAATAAAAGATGTATTACAGTATATTATCTATCTTTTATCCTTTATGTAGAAAGGTATTATAATCTATTAGTTACAGTTTATTTTCTGTTAGACAGTTATAATTATTACTTAGAGTTAGACTAACATTTTAGTTAGAAATAACATTCTAGTTGCTTAAAGATTTTTGCTTTGTTGGGCTCTCTACCCTATATATAGGGACCTTGTATATTCTTTTGCACAGACCTGAATAAGTTTTGATGAATTGATTTGGTATTATAACCTCTCTTTATCACCTTCTTCCTCCACTCTTTCCCCTATTTCTCCTCTCCGTCTTCCTGTCTGTCTTTCTCCTTCTCTTCTTTATCAGTTCTTCCATTTGCGATTCTCCCTTTTCCCTGTCCGGCACTATATCAACTTTACATACAAGGGTGTCTGTAAATTAGGATCGAGTCTTGCAAGGTAAGGAGAGAGCTGAACATGCTTGCGACTGAGCTCATATATTTGCTTAGTGGACAGTTATGGATGACACATCCATCTATGATTGGAAATTCAAATATCATTGCTCATGACTTGGAATTAATCCTAAACCAATTTTCTATTTATTTCTCTCTCCAAGAGAACCATGCATCTCTCCAAATTAAAACTTCTCCAACCCCGTTGCTGACCTCTCATCCACAGTATATCTCTCAAATGAAACAGGGAGCATGAACAAAAAGCCAGTGATTTAGTCAACTTGCGAAGAACACGCTCATGCTTGTTAAGAACGGGGTTCCAAATATGGGGATTGGCGGTCAAAAGTCAAAACCATCCTCTACTGAGATTGTTGATGGTGGCACTGGTGGTATTGGTGGAGCCAGGGAGCTCTAGATGGGCATGCGAAATAATTCATCGATCAGAACTGGCATTTAATGCAGAGGTTGATAGATTAGTGGTGTTGGGGATAGTGGTTATTACTTCAATTTTTGAATGCATATGGGATAGTGAGGGTGATTTGGTTGGATCAGTTATGGTGTAGAGGCAAGGCGATAGAAGTACTTGTTGAGGTAACTGGGAAAATAAAAAACAAGAGATAAATTCTTCTCGTGAGAATTTTCTTGTGTTTCCTGGTTTCTCCTTTTACCAAACCTCCTTGCTAGTGGGGATGCTTGACATTTCAAAATAAGAAAGGAGAATATTGAGGGTGGCAGCTCCAAGACTCTGGTTCAAAGGCAATGGTCGTACAACAGGAGATTTATGGTAGGTGCGCATTACAAATTCAATCATGCATGGTGAATCAGGTCTAATATTCAAGTGAAAAAATGGTACAGGACTCACATTATCTACCGAGGTTAAAAGTTGGAAACATGGATTCTTGGTTGTTGTTGTTCGTTAAAAGTTGGAAACATGGATTCTTGGTTACCTGAGGATGTGGCGTAATAGTCAATAAAGTGGGAGGAGAACCATGTAGCCTCAAGTTCAAATCTCAACAGAGGTAAAAAAAACACCAGGTGATTTTTTACATCTACCTAAGCCTTGGTGGATAGAGTTACCCAGTACCTATGCTGGTAGGACTTAGGAGGTAGCAGGTACCCAGCTAAATAGTTAAGGTGTTCGTAAGCTGAACCAGATACCACCGTCATAGAGAAAGAACATAAAAATAAAAATTAAGAAAGAGAAGGGGGGGGGGGGTGAAAGTTGGGAATGTGCATAGCTGCTTGTCATCTGGCCATTTACAAGATGAGCGGATCAACTCTAAGAATTAGTTGATATTAAGGGTGCATTTGGTACGAGGGAAAATGAATTACTGAAAAATAAGTGTTTGGTTGGCAAATGGAAAACATTTTCAGGGAAATATTTATATTGCTTGGTTGTTGAGTAGAAAATATTTTCATGAACAATAATGAAAATAATGTTCACTAACAACAAAAAAGATCACAAAATAATGCTTGAAACTTTGAAGGTATCGAATTTATAAGCAGCAACATTATTGTAGAAGCAGTAATACGAGTGATCCAAATATTCTCTCCCACAGCAAGTACGTCCATGCATACTTGGCAAGTTGTGAACCATGTACTCTCAATTCATCCAAATTCAAAGTCCCTTGCTCTGTCCCATGCCCATAGTTTCACTGAAAAAAAGTACAAACATGCAGGGGAGTGATTGGGGGTTTGGTTTTGGGTTGGGGGGGAACTAAAAGCAGAGCCTCATTTTTGGACCACTTCCCGTGGGTCCCTAGGAACACTAATTAGAGGATATTGTTTCCCTTAGGAAAATGTTTTTCTTCGTACCAAGCACTTGACAAAACTATAAGATGATGGAGCCAATAGTACCAACATAAATGTGTGGTCCTGATTGAGTTCCCCTTGTTCTAAAGAAGAGGACCTAACAAAATTTTGTGAGTCTTGAATTTAGTCTTGAATGTTTGTGTTCAATCTTGTTCTGCTGGTTAGCGATGGAAGCTGTGTGATAAAATATCTTGCTTTTTATGACTTTTTTGGCAAACCTTTCTCATCAACAGCCTAAATGGTATTTTGTTGTTAGTTTTTTCTTTAATAGCTGAGAACAGCGCATTTTCAAAATTTATAACCAATGTGGATTCTTTAATGCATGCTAGGTTCGCTACTTGAAGATAATCGAAAAAAGTGGTTATCAGGCTCTTCCTTGGGTGAGATATATCACGATGGCTGGTGAATACGAGTTAAGACTTACGTAAAACCATAGAGATGGTGTACCAATCCATTTAAGTCTGTTTTTGAGGCTCAGGTTACTACAAGTTCCAGTGCTTTGAGGTGCTTAGCTGTAGATAAGCTTTAGTTCAAAGCTAATGTTTTGCTGGCCCAATTTGTTGTCTATTATATTTGACTTTATTACTTGTATGTTACTCGCACTTTCTTGTATAGAGATGTTTGGTGATTAATTTCATGTCTCATATTTGCTTCAACTCGCGACTGCTGATACTGGCTGGTCGTTTATATCGTTATTTCTGTTTTAACCTTTAAAGAAGCTTGGTTTTTATAGCGAGTGTTAGTATTGGGTACTTCTTTGTCATTTTTATACATGTCGTCAAAGTATTGTTGTGATAGTAAGATAAAACTTGCATTTGCATTTCTCGAGTGTTGAGATTCTTTGCTGTTTGAAGTTTCCTGAGTTGCTTATAGTCGATTATCATGAAGTACTGCTTCTGGATATGTTGGATGTGAATAGGAGAGATTGTTTTCGGGAGATCAATTATGACGATAATTTGTGAAATTGAAGAATTTTCCGATAATGAGTCACCCTCGTACCACCAGGTGCAACTCACGTTGCAGAAATCAGTGAAAAGACTACTTCCTTGAACACAAAGAGGACATTCTTGTTTCCAGCTTTTCATTCCTAAATAAAGCCTCTGTGACCAATAATGAGTACAGGGTAAACTAACTCTGAATTAAAAATTAAAAAAATACATAAGAGTGAGTGAGAGTGTGTATATTTTTTTAAAAACACAAAAGAAAAAAAAAAGAAAAAAAGAGAAACAGCCATTAGCATCAAATGCGAAAGGTTGAGAAGTGTAATAGTGTTTGGCCAACCACTACACTTAATCCTAAGCTAGTTGAGGTCGGTATATAAATCTTCACTATCTATTTGGCTCTATTTTAACTCGTCTGATTCCAGTATTCTATAATTTAGGTTTCCTAACACTAGAAGTTCTTTATATTTTTTATTGACATACAAACCTTTAGCAAGATCAAAAGGAATTTTAGCAAACATTGGACCTAATGTAAGCTTAACAGCATGAATAATATGTAATCCCAATTAGTTAGTATCCTTTATATACATCTTTTCTTACATCGACACTATATTACGAATTACGGCCTGCCAATTCTTTTTTTTTTTTTTTGGTTTCCCACCCGGTGTCCGGTACCCGCATTGGAGCCCGACTATATCCGGATTCGCGCCGCGTAGGGCCCCATTCGGGGGGAAGCGCTCCCTACCAAGGATTTTTCCATACCCAGGGCTCGAACTCGAGACCTCTGGTTAAGGGAGGAGCAGTCTCATTCACTGCACCACATCCTTTGGCGGTGCCTGCCAATTCTCGATAAGGTTCTTCGCTGCCACAACAAGAAAAATTGTGTATTTCTTTTAGAAAATCTCTTAATTGTTCCAAAACAACTAGAAAGCATCTGCAAGAGATTTTAGGTCTTATGAGAACTTGTTTCCATATGATTATGGGTTCACTTACCGAAAAGAAAAAATAGGTGATTTTAGGTCACTTTGTGTCTTTTTTAACACCTTCAATTATTATGATTTTAGACTTAATAATTGGTACATCTGAAGGTCTATGTAGGATATATGTAACGATCCGACCGGTCGTTTTGAGCTCTAGCGCATCGTTCGGTAGTTTGAGGCCTTGGGTAGCTTCACTTCATGTATTATGACTTGTACGTGTGGTCGAAATTGAATTTCGGGAAGTTCGGAGTTTATTCGGATGGAAAATTCTCAATTCGGAAGCTTTAAGTTGGAAGAGTTGACCAAGGTTTGACTTTCGAGCAAACGACCTCGGAATCGGGATATGAAGGTTCCAATAGGATCGTATGATGATTTCGGACTTGGGCGTATGTTCGGGTTGAGTATCGGGTGGTCCGGAAGCATTTCGGCGCTTATTATGGAAGGTTGGCATTTTGAAAGTTTAAGAATTTCATAAGTTTGGTTCGAAGTAGATTTTGGTGTTATCGATGTCCGTTTGGAGTTCCGAGACTTGGAATAGGTTCGTGTCGTGATTTGTGACTTGCACGCAAAATTTGGCGTCATTCCGGATTGTTTAAGTGTGAATCGGACGCGTTGTCGAAGTTGGAATGTTTGAAAGTTCAAAGAAAGGTTTCGATCGCCGATTCGTAGTTTTGATGTTGTTTGGTGTTATTTGAGGCCTCGAGCAGGTTCGTGTTATGTTTTGGGACTGGTTAGTGTGATTGGATGGGGTCCTGAGGGCCTCGAGTGTATTTCGGGACGAGTTTAGACCATTCCTCTATGTTGTGCAGTTGCTGGTTTCTGGTGCGTTTGGAAAGCATAGTGATCGCGAAGGAAGGATAGCGATCGCGAAAGGTAAGTGGACTGATGGCTTTTTTTTTCAATGCGATCGCGTAGTGGGAGCCGCGAATGCGGAGTTGGAGCAGATTGTACTTCGCGTTCGCCTAGGCAGAGCTGCGAACGTGATGGTTTGTGGAGGCCCGCCTGCTGGGGAAAGTTGAGCTATGCGATCGCCGAAGGACTCACGTGATCGCGGAAGAGGAATCTACAGAGGCCAAGTTAGGCCTTTGCGTTCGGGTTGATGGGCTCGCATTCGCATAGGCCTAGGCATTCGCGATAGCGAGTAGGATCTCGCGTTCGCACATGGTAAATTCATAGGCGAGCCTGGTTGGCCTTCGCGATCACGTGGTTTTTTCTGATATCGCGGAGAAGGGAGTTCCTGGGCAGTGAGCTTTTATTTTGGGACTTAGCCCATTTCTCTCACATTTTCTTTTGGTTGGGCAATTTTTGGAGCTCTTGGAGGGAAGATCTATGTCAGAGGAAGTAATTCCGGTATATTGTGAGTTAAATACACGGTTTATATATGGATTTAAACATGAAAATTAGTAGAAATTTGGGATTTTGGTAGAAAATCTAGAACTTGGTATTTTTGGATTTTGACCACGAAATTGGACATGGAATTGAGAATAAATTATATATTTGAGTTCGTTATGTTTATCCTGGAAAAATTTTCGGAATCCGTGCACGTGGGCCCGAGGGTTGACTTTGTTGACTTTTTGAGCGGAGTTGGGAATCATTATAAATTGTTAAATTATACGCATTGGGGTATATTTTGATTGGTTTGCTTTGACTAGTTTTGGATCGACGAACAGGGGTTTGAGGTGCTAGAGAGGCATTGGAGCCGATTATGAAACTTCGGAGAGAGGTAAGTCTCCTGTCTAACCTTGTGAGAGGAAATTTACCCCGTAGGTGCTATATTCGTATGTGATACATGTTGTGGGAGCTACGCACGTATGAGGTGACGAGCGTCCGTGCGTATGCTAGAATTCCTGATTATGTCCGGGTAGACTTAGGTTCACGCCAGGCTTTAATTGTACTTTTTGAGTTTCCTTGCCTGTTTAATTCCTTTATTTCGCGTTACGACGGGAGACTAGGCTTGCGTAGAGTGATAGACTCGCTATTATAGAGATTTAACGAGCTACTTGATTAGCCGCGGAATAATTGTGCTCCCTTTAAGAATTTCTCTCGCATTGTGCATTTTCATCAAAAAGCTTCCTTAAATTTCATAACTCACACGTTTATTCGTGAGTGGGGTCGAGGACCCGTTAAAGCTTCTTATTCTAATGGGATCGGGCCGTTCAACTCGGCGATACCACACTTTTATGGGATCAGGCCGTTTGCCTTGACAGTATCATATTCTTATGGGATCGGGCCGTTCGCCTCGGCAGTACCACACTCTTATGGGATCGGGTCGTTCGCCTCGGCAGTACCACATTCTTATGGGATCGGGCCGTTTGCCTTGATAGTATCATATTCTTATGGGATCGGGCCGTTCGCCTCGGCAATACCACACTCTTATGGGATCGGGTCGTTCGTCTCGGCAGTACCACATTCTTATGGGATCGGGCCGTTCGCCTCGGCAGCTTCATGAAACACTCTTATCGGATCGGGTCGTTCGCCTCGACGGCGTCATACGTAATATTTGACAAGAAGTCATCGTATCCTTGAGTTTTCCTGATTTAAGTTGTGACGACCTATCTAGTGGGGACCATTTTACATATATACTCTGGTTGAGGAGGTAACCAATAGTTGAGAGCTTGTGTTTACAGTTCAGAGGAGGATTGTACCACGTATTTATATTTGTTTATTCCGTTTATTTACTCTGCCTCATATTTGTTTACTTCTTACTGCATATGATTTACTGGACCACTAGTAAGTGTCAATGTCGACCCCTCGTCACTACTTCTCCGAGGTTAGGCTAGATACTTAGTGGGTACGTGTTGATTTACGTACTCATGCTACACTTCTGCACTTATAAACACTAATAGTGCCAAAATGTGTTGTTTTGAGGATTTTGTCCTAAATCTTTTATAGACTTGATTTGAAAACATATTAAGTGATAAGGTATTTGGCACAAGGTCAAAACATGGAGGTTGCCTAGCCATGAATGAAACAAGCAGCACCCTGCAAATTTTCTTCTGATGGGGGATCCATTGTGCCAATTGACAAGACCTGGTATCCAACAACAGTTGGTGGGACATACATACTTTTTCAGCCTTTCAGTTTTAGTAAAAGAAGAGTGACCATCACAAATATTTAGTGGCTGGCTGGTCCCAGCTTCTGAGCTCATGTACTAAATGGTCACCAGTCTAAATCAAGACTAAACATTCTGTACATTTATCACAGGAAGAGAGAAAAAGGAAAGACAACCAACTTGGAGGGTTAGACAGCACCAACACATAACATGTTAGTACAGCAGATGCAACTTCTGTAAACGGAAAAACTTATTCGACCCGACACACGTACCAAATTATTATGTTATCCCATAATTACTATTGAATAGGAGTAGCATATAATTGATTAACAAATCTTCAATCAGACCACTGTACATGAGGATGGCTACCTTATGCTCATCCTCAGTAAATTTAAAGATTTTTAAGCTAAGAAAATCCTAATGGACTCTTAAGTTACAGAAATGGCACATTGTCTCAAAATTGAGGGGGAAAGAGGACCTATGAACTCAGCTGTTGATCAAAAAGAAACGAATTATACATGAACTTCCCGTTCTTTTTACAGATTTATACACGCATTAAACAACCAAATATTTTCCACTTCAACTTTAAATACTCAAGAATGATAACGTGTAAGGAGAAGAACGATAATTGGATGTCATCTAGGTCCTGAAAGCTCCATTGCTTCAACTACAAGTGATGATTCTTCTATATAGTCGGAATATCTTTTTGGTGTATTTTCAGAAGTTCTGTACCTTGGAGTTTCGAATTTTTGTGAAGCCTCCCATTTTTCCGCTAATCCATCCCCCTCCAGCATCCTTAATACCTCGGACATCTTTGGGCGATGAGAAGGACTGAAATGAGTACATAGAAGTGCAACTTGAACCATCTCTTCAAGTTCAATCCGGTCAAAGCTGTTCTTTAAATCTTTATCCACCATAAGGTTCAGCTTTTTCTCTTGATGAAGCTTCTTTACCTGCATTACATTAGCCGTAAATTTAACAAGGGGATCCAATAACGAATGCCTAACACTGCACTAGCATGATTCAGTACAGAAAAACTAGTAAATGATAGTGGCAATTACAGTAGCTACTCTTTAATAATCCATTTAGGCCTTTCTTCTCTCCATTCTAAAAATACAATATGTTTTTCCACACATAACAGAGACAGGGTGAACGTACCCAGTCAAGCATAACACCTTTCTGGTTGGCCCCTCGTCCAAAATCCACAGCTTTCTGACCTGTAATTAGCTCAAGAAGCAAGATTCCAAACCCAAACACATCGGTTTTCTCTGATGATTGACCAGTAGACAAATATTCTGGAGCAATGTGGCCAACGGTGCCCCTGACAGCAGTCGTTACATGGGAATCCCGGTGATCCAAGAGCTTTGCCAACCCAAAGTCTCCAACAACTGCCTCAAATTCCTCATCCAACAGAATGTTAGCTGCTTTAACATCACGGTGGATTATTTTGGGGTCACACTGCTCATGCAAATATACCAGCCCTCTTGCTGTACCTAATGCTATGTTTTTTCGCCTTGACCAGTCCAAAACTGGCCTGCCATGGGTGTGATCTGCAAATTTAACAAAGGCATGGTTAATTCAATGCAATGGTTGGATCATTTCTTCAAAATGCTGCAAGTTCACTTAGGAAGCTAATAAAAAGCAGCTGATAGGTCTGTCAAAAATAAAAATGGATACAGCTTCGAACTTCAGCACAATAAAAAGAAAAAATAACATCACTGTGGGGGCTGAAGATGGCTTACCATATATTTGAATTAGTGAAATATAATGATGACAGCAAATAGGCATCACAGATAGAGTGAAGAAACTGTCAAGATACCTTGTGAGATGAGTGGGGTTGAAACATCAGCAAGGCTGATCTATGTTCTAAGATTCATTCTTGTAAGAGAATACTTTATGCTGTTAAGCTCACATTCAGTAATAGCAAATTGTGCAGCTTTAAGATAGTCATTTTAACTTAAGTTCCAGAAATGGTGAAACAAAAACTCAGACTGTTGATAACAAGCACCTAAAAATGAAAGTGAAAGGCAACTACACTTGGAACTGTTTATTCCTGAGAATGTCCAACTTCAAAAAACATGGAGCTTGGAGTAATGATCTGAAGCTAGTAGGGAAAGTAGTAAGACCAAGAAGCTGACCTTTTAATCGTGCTGCAACGCTTCCATTTGGCATATAAGGGTAAACAAGAAGCCGCTCACTTTCAGTCGAGCAAAAACCCAAAAGACGGAGAAGATTTCGATGGACAGCCAAACTAATCAACTCGACCTCTGTCTGAAATTGGATTTCACCACCGACAGCATTGTAGTCCTTCAATCTTTTGACAGCCACAACAGTTCCATTATTTAAGCGGCCCTTGTACACAACTCCAAATCCTCCGCTCCCCAAAATATTTTTTGAGCTAAAATGATCAGTAGCAGTCCGCAGTTCCTTAAAGGCATATCTTTTCAAGTGACCCAAGCATATCTCTGGATCATATTGCTCTGCAATGGAGAAATCATTGCTCAGATACAGCTATAGAGGATAACTGGAGACAGGCAAAAAATACTAAATGCTCAAGGAAAATGATGGGAAAAAATAAGTAGTGACTTGTTCCCGTAAAATGTCCACAAATATGCAAGAAACAACCACAGTCTAAGATTGATCAAGGAAAACGTCATCCCAGTGGGAGGGGGAACAATTGATTCACCTGACAAGGTTGGTCAGGGCAGTGAATTAAGTTCATATACAGCAGTGAAGCTACCTTGTTCAAGAAGTGGATCATAGCATTTTTTTAATCCTACCTTTGATAATAGCATGCTGAGCGAATAGTTGACATGGAAAGATTCGCTAATATCCGAAGAAGGAACTCATGGACTATAATGTGCCCACAGCAACTAGCCAAGGAAGGGAGAAAACATACATAAATTTGAGAAACACCAGTTCCAATCTTTTGGTCTAGATAGGCAGTAACTACCGAAGACAAGGATTGTACTAAGTCTCAATTTGAGAAAACGTTGGCCAGAATATTTCAGAGCATGAAGGACGGTGTAATTTGCTAAGCAAGAGAATTCTTTGCTTTCAACATGTTCACGATCTGGGGAAATGCGAAGTGCTGATAAACATCCATAGCAAACTTGAGGTCCCACATGATACTAGGCAAATAAATTTTACAACCAAATGTCAATGTATATCTTCCCAATGTTAGATTAACACAAAGATGCATATGAACTTATTTAGAAACTAAGATAACCATTAAACCACAAGCGACCAGTCTCTGTGGCGTGCTAGCTTCAAAAGAAAATCAAAATGATGCCAACTACTCAAAATGATGACAAATCTACTGAGCTTAATTTATACATCCGAGAAGCTATACAGGTAGCCAAATGAACTAGAAATACACAAACGAGGAGAAGAAACTTGAATCATCTTAGTGGGATTAAAAGCAAAAGAAAATCTGCTAACCATTGACATCAAAGAAGATCTGTTTATTATGCCGGTAGCGCCACCATAGAACCAGTGCGACAACTACTATAACCAAGAACGCAGCACCAAAACTTGCCCCAAAAGCAACAGCGACATGATGGCTTTTACCTCCTGCTCCTGATTTATCTGTTGAAGTGAAGAAAATAGACAAAATATTTTCAAAAACAGAGATAGTTGAACCTCCTGTATTTCTTTTCTTAAGTTTTATTTTTTTCCCACATGGAAGGAAAGGGTGGTGGACAGAATTGATGTTATACACACCTCCTAAACTATCTGGCGGGAATGATAGCGGTTCTGGATAGACTGCAGAACAATTGTTCCCAGAACTTTGGCCACAAATTAAAGGATTTCCAACAACTCTGAAAGACATGAAGAGAAACTTTAATTGAATATGATGAGGATTTACTAATCTAATCTATCAATTGTCTTCTTATAAAGTATCTCGAAAATAAAAATACAAAGTACTTTTTAAGCAGTTATTAACCCAGAAGAACAACGTTGTACTCTAAACTACTTCATTATTGGTAATGAAATTAAAATTTACAGCCATATGAACAAGACAGTTTCAATATTATTGAGAATTACTACTTCAACTGCAGCAACTTAGAATTAAGACAATAGAAAAAGCGACTCACTTGAACGCTCTTGCTGATATTTTAGGCAGTGGACCACTAAGATTATTAAAAGAAACATCCCTACAAGCAAAATCAGCTAAGTCAATACAATATAAGAATAAGATTGAAGAATATGCATAATAAATTTCAAAGCAAAATGGATAAAAGAGGGTATACAAACGTACACAAGAGCAAGTCCTTGAATGTTAGAGAGAGATTGAGGAATGGATCCCATGAGGCTATTGTTGTTTAATCGCCTGTCTTGCTCAACAGTGAAATTACACAATAAGGTTCAAGTTTAGCTTGAGATAAGAATGTCTGTAAAGCAAAATTTCCTGAACTCACAAATAATTTAAATTCCTCAGGTCTCCGAAAGACGCAGGCATTTCGCCTTCAAATTTGTTGTTGGAGAGATCAAGTGTCTGAAGCTTTTCCAAATTCCCAATCACATCAGGAATAGGACCAGAAATAGCATTGTTTTGCAGCAATCTAGATCAATTCAATATGGTATAAGAACACAGCTTAAACCTTATGTCAATAAATAGATGCATAGATTGAAGAACTTACACAGATTGCAATTTAGTGAGGTTGCCTATTCCGGGTGATAATGTTCCAGATAGACTTTGACTAGGTAGTCCACTGATGAAGGAAAAAAGTTGGAGCATTCAGTAAAAATTAGGGCTTATGAACTGAAGACACACACACACACACACTACTTACAGAGCAGAAACATAGCCATCAAGGGAACAAGTGACCATTCTCCAACTGCAAGGGTCCACAGAAGTCACATCCCAATTCTCCAGAACATTGTAAGGATCATGTAATGCCTTCTTAATTTCCGTCAAAGCAACAACTGCATAAAATTATTTACACTTATAATAAAAGCTAAAGAGAAGCAATAAAACAGGCTTAGCCAAATAAAGAAAGGAAATTTCAGGACAAGTGAATACTCCATAATGAATGAAAATTCAGGACAAAGAAACTTACCTTCATAATTAATGCCAGTAGGGGAAAGAGAAGCATAAGAACTCTCCATTAATGTTAAAATCAGCAACCCCACATACCACAGCATACACCACTTTCCCTCCATCCTCTACTAATGCTCACTTCTACAATTTTACATAAAAATCACTTGTTCGATATCAGAACCCCTTAGAGGAAACCCCACCAAAGGAGATTCTTTTTCAACCTCAAATCCTGCTATTTCAAACAAACATGCCTAAGTTGCTGGGATTATGCTTTGAGCCAAATGGGCACTATTTTGTACGAAAGAAAAATGGAATTTTCTTGAGAAAGAACAAGATTAAGCCTGAAAATATGGTAATCTTGAGATCTGATAATATTGGAAAAAAAGGATTAGTTTCATGGTTGGTAACTGATCCCAACAAATTCCATCAGTGGAATATTGTTAAATATAATATGTTTGAACTAATTAAGCTTCTCCCTTTTAGTTGAAGCTTTGTACCGTATCCACTCAAGATCATCATCACCATCTCCCTCTATTATTATTCTCATTCTTAATATATACCACAAAGATACAAACATACAAAAGAAGCCAAAACATATGCCAAAAACTCACACATATAGATGTGGACAGTTTTTACAGAAAGAGAAAAAAAAAACAAGAATTTTATTTTAATCAGTTTAAAATGTTTTTTAAAAAAAAATAAAGAAATTGGGGTTTGAGAAATTTGCTTATTATTCAGTGATTGGACTGAAGGGATGCGTTGGATTGATCAGAATTCAGAAGGAACAAGAGGATGTCTAAAAGGAAAAGCAAAGGAAACTTTTTGCAGTAGTAGTAAAAAGCTTTTTGGCAGGTCACGTGCTTGGCTTGTCTTAGTCTTTGTTGTCTTTTGGACTTTTTGAATATTTTTAAATGATTTTGTTCTGTTAAAGTTTTTGCAGAGATGGCCCACATTGCTAGCTTGCACCAGATTAGTTTGTATATGAAAAATTCTTCCTCTTGCGGTTACTTTTATATTTTAATTTACCATTTAAGTTCTTCCTCTTGTTGTCAAGATTAATTTAATACTTATATGATAGCATGTTGTAGACTCTCTAATTTAACTAGTGTATTATTTATAAATAGCTCGAACCAAAATTTACCAAATCGTGATGACACCTAACTCAGTCTGCTAGGCGAACCAACCAACATAAAACACAACCTAAACTGAAGTTCCTTAAATAAATGATGAAATAAGAACGCGAAATTTAATACAAACTACCACAAGAACTGGTGTCACACGTCATGAGCAACTAAGAAATAAAATAGAATGCTAGTATGAAAAAAGTACATTATTTGTTAGAATATACATTAACATACAAGTTTTAAACTACCATGAACAAAATATCAGTTAATCACTGGAACGCTAATGTCTTCATTGCTCGCCCTAATACTCCGCAACAACTTAGCTCTAAAATGTGCACGTAAGTTGTAGAAGTGTAGTATGTGTACAATCGGTCTCATGTATTCTGCAAGTATCAAGATTAACCCAACGAAGTAGTGGCAAGGTTTAATCAAAAGATACTGACTTTATATAACATGTGCAATTCATAAGCATATATATAAATAGAGAAAACAACCAAGGAGCAACAACAACAACAAACCCATTGTAATCCCACAAGTGAGGTTTGAGGAGGGTAATGTGTACGCCGACCTTACCCTACCTTAGAGAGGCTGTTGTCGATAGACAAAAAAAAAATAATAAGGTGTACAGTCGAAGTAGAAGATAAAAAGCATATTTACTTATATATCAGGATCAAAAGCATATATCAATGCACTAGATCCGCATATAAAGGAGATATGTATCAAGCAACATTTATTCGAATGTTTTTACATATATAAGTCTAGAATGTCTATGCATGATATAAAAAAAAACTCAAGCTTTACATCAATTGATACTCTTCAAGTATCCGCCAACCTGCTAACAAGTCTCATGCATATGCAAAATGCATCGAGTAGCATATGAGTATGATATGCATGAATGATGCATGTAAAAATGCATGAATGCGCATATCTCATGCCAAACCAGAAATTTGTCTGTTTCTCATAACCTACACACATACGACCTAAGGTAACATGGGTAATCACGTAACTCCGTAAGGATAAATCCTATCCATGCACTATATCTGATCATAATAGCTCTACAATCGATCATCAATCTGCACGAAAACACTCATCTTGTGAATATCCCTCTAATTCTCTCCATGCATATATATCAATTAGCACGATACTCATCCTGGTGACAGTCGTGTGAACTTCCTCAAGCGACCTGAACTCTTCATCATAGTCTAGATAGAAGGAAAACTCTTCATAGAAACCTCCTAGAATCATACAACCTCAAACCTTCTCGTCGGAGATAATCCACCTACATAAATCCAATCCGACGTCTTCATATGATCTTAACAATGTTACAACCATTATGCAATCGATTAGTCTTCCTGAGTCTATACTCGTCAACAAGCCACTTTATCCTACAAATGAACAACTGAAAGTCCACCAACATATCCACATATTAAGATTACACCGAGTTGATAATCAAGCATCCATAGACCTCGGGTTTCGAGAAAATCCTTCTCGTCATATCCAAATTATCTAAGCGTAGTCCTCAATCACATAGTTCTCATCATAGATCTATCTAGTAACTCACTGAGCCATTAATTGAACCACTAGGGACACTACCAAACGTTAATGTCCAAAGTCACATACATATACAACTAGATAAGCCATGCCCATTATGCAGTCTAAAACTGGCCTCAAGACCTCTAAACTAGCCTACCTTCACAACATAGAAAACACATATTGCACATCATCCACGACATCACAAGCCATCGGTGCATAGCTGATAAACCGAGTGCTCAACATCACATACGAGTGAATCGAAAGAAGTCAAAGATATAAGCTTTATGCTGAATCAGTGCCGCGGGACAAGGCAAAAAAGAAGATGAAGTTTCCAGATGCCCTGTAGCCTCCTTAAGATAAGTGTGGACGTCATCATACCGATCTGCAAGACCCTACTAGACATGTGCCCAAGACTAGTAGAACCTATGAACTATCACGCCCTAACCTCGGGGAGCGCGACAGGCGCTCAATCGAGATAACCCGACCGAGCAAGCCTATTGGATTTCCTTCTACCCAAACTCACCCGTAAATAAAGAGGAGATATATTCTATTAATTAAACACTGAGAGGATTTCATAAACAATCCCAACTCCATTACCATTAGTTACTCTAATTTTAAGTCTCAAAATACATACACTTTCATAGTTTGAAATGTAACATGTAATACACATACAACATTACTAGCTTGAATTTCCCAACACCAATACACAACCCACACCATGTCTACGGGGCCTCTAATGGATACAAAAAAGTAAAGTAGCACATTAGTTCATTTGGGTTTGTGTGAATTTTGAAAAGAAAAATTAAATTCTTAAAGAAAATAGAGTCCGGGGTAGGGGTAGGGGGAGGGGGGGAGGAGTACACGAAACACGGGGATTTTGGGGAAGGTGAATTGAGGAGAATAGCATAAAAAATTATTTTTCTAAAAATATTTTATATTCTCTAACCAAACACTAAAAAATATTTTCCAGAAAAAGTTTTCCACTCACCAACCAAACAAGGGAAAATAAGTGATAAAACCACTCATTTTTCTGGAAAACATTTTCTAGGAAAATATTTTCCATGAATAACATTTTCCTTCATACCAAACAAACCCTAAATTCAATGAGAAAACAACAGTCTAAAAGTAGAATATGAGACTACAATGATAGTGCCGACAAGGCTATAGCTATACCTCAAAACATAATACACACGGAACAAAAGATGCACGACCCCGAAATAAAGTGGAGATCACCAAGTCAACAAAGAAGAGAGTGTGCCGCATTACTGGTCAATGCCTTCCGCTTTGGAACCACATGCATCCATTAAAGATGCAGCGCCCCCGGTAAAAGTGACGTTAGTACATGTCGAATACTACTAGTATGAAAACCAAAACACCTATTCAAGGACTTGGAAATACAACATGAATATGATGAATCATGGTAACAATAAAAGGGAATAGATAGCAGTTAAAGTCAAAGCAAATTTATTTAAGAACTTTCAATAACATTTATAAATTTTGAGTCGGGGATCCTCTGCTACCACCTTTACACAAAGCGGCCCTGCCGCCTCACCCCAATGTATGCGGGTGGAGGTGCAATCATAATACCAAATAGACTCTACACAAAGTAGCGCTGCCGCCTCACCCCAATGTATGCGGGTGGAGGTGTAATCACAATACCACAACTTGACGCAAAGCGGACCTGCTGCCTTACTCTAATATATGCGGGTGGAGGTGTAATCACAATACCACAACTCTACACAAAGCGGCCCTGCCATCTCACTTGATATATGCGGGTGGAGGTGTAACTACAATACCTTAACACAAAACGGCTCTGATGCCTCACCCCAATGTATACGGGTTGAGGTGTAATCATAATACCACAACTTTACACAAAGCGGCCCTGCCGCCTCACCCCAAAATGTGTGCGGGTGGAGGTGTAACCACAACTTGGATTCTCAAAACGATAGCAGTTTGTACAAAAGATTTCCTTTCAAATCAATCTCTTTGGCACCTTCGGCCTTAACAACCGTCCCGGGGTTAAAGTGCTGCAGTGCGGCCATGTACCTGGGCAGAGCTGCAAATGACTTATCCCAGTTACCATAGACTATTTCAAACGCTCGTTTGCGCCCGAGATATGCCTTTCTTTTGGTAATGGTATGGCCATGTTCCTGGTGGACTGATATAATGCACTCTTTGATTTTATACCTTATGGACGCTTTGATGTGTGGAATAAGGACAAGAGAATCAAGTCAATATCCAAGTTGAAGTGATTCCCCTTGAATGTGTCCATTTCGCATGTGTGGGTGGGAATGTATTTACCCACTTTCCACAGACCTGTCTTCTTCTTGCTCGCACGCAACATCCAATGACATGGCCAAAACCACCTGCGACAAACAACCTTGTATACAACCGGACTTGACTCCCATACCGTCATCTCACGACACTCTTTTATGTTGTGCATTTTACAAGTCCTGCTTACGCGCGCTTTATCAGGAAAAAGTATGCCCTTTGCCAGCACCGTTAGTCTAGATTCATCCCACATTGCTGTCCGAATTTTATCAAAATCCCTTGTGAGAGCTTCCACATCCGGCAAGGTAAGGAATCTCCCTTGAATGAAACGACACTTGGGACTCGTACACTCTTCGTCTAGGGGGGGTGGAGCATACTCTCTCGTCAAATCAGGTCCTTCCTTCTCATCCTCCTCATCACCATCCTCACGAGGAAAGGGTGTCTCGTCTCCAGATTCATCAGCATTGTTGTCATAATCACTGTTCTCTTCCTCACTCTGTGCATCTGCCAGATCCCGATTTAATACGTCGTCTTCGGGCAATTGAGTGATTACATGTGGTTCAACTCGCTCGTTTTCACTACGCAATCAACAAAATAATAAGCTACTGAAATTAATAAATATTTTCCATATAGCTGTATCACTTCACTTATAAGTCGTAATGTGATGAAATTCCATGATGGACATTTTCATTTAGGTGATGACTCCCGGATGGACCATCATGATCCAACATATCAAAACTATGCTTGGGTTCATAATTTGTAAAATTCATATCCGGCCGGTACCCCATGTTAAATATATGAGCGTTAATACAAATTCAATACAACAAAAATGTACATCGTAATACAAAGAAAAATTGAAG